AGTCAACACGTCAGAGAGGACAGCAATAAAAAAAGGCAAAGCTTGAGATGCCAACCGACTTATAACATGATTTTATATTTACGAAGTTTGAAGACATTATATACATATATATATATATATATATATATATATATATATATATATATATATATATATGTGTGTGTGTGTGTGTGTGTGTGTGTGTGTGTGTGTGTGTGTGTGTGTATGTAAATGTGAAAATATATAAATATAATATATATATATATATAATTATTTATATATTATATGCAAAGTACTTATTAGAAAGCGCTCAATATCAGAGATAAATTCAATAAATATATATATATATATATATATATATATATATATATATATATATATGGTATAACGATATGTAAATTTTGATATATTTTGAAAGAACAGATGTATTTTCCAATTTGTCATACATCTTTTCTTTTTATATATATATATATATATATATATATATATATATATATATATATATGTTTAATTAGGTAGCAACTATATATATATTAGCTCCCGAAAATAAATTTATTCGATCGAGCACTGTGGAGGGAAAAGCGCGTATTTGTAAACAGTGACTATTACTGCTAATAATGAATTGAGTTCTCTATGTTCTCTAAATCCCTGGCGTGTTTATGAAAAATAAATACACAGAAATTCGCCTTTCTCTCTGTCGAGCGTCGATAGCTTAGGGGCTAGAATCTTCGAATGATACCACATTGGTCAGGGTTTGGTCCCGGCTTGAAACAATCGGGTATCTAGCCGCACTGGGGAGCTGTGATACAACGAAACAGTCTGTGGATGACGATATATATATATATATATATATATATATATATATATATATATATATATATATTTAGACACACACACAGATATATATATATATATATATATATAACAGTGGCAAGAGTCTTTCGTTTATACATTTTTCATTGAATTTGATTGGTTCGTTTTCTACGGCTTATCAACTCTTTGCAAAGCCAGAAAAAATATTTAGATTATAAGAATTTGGGTGTGGGAAGATAATATTGATTTAGTTATACAAGTCTCACTAATTAACCCATACCTGGGGGAAGAATATGCGGATTCATAACTTTCGAAATAATATTTGCGTGTAAGCGAATATAACGAACCCAGCTGAAATTGGAACTCAGCCATTATCCATTACACTACCTGCATATTTAAGCTTACAGCACCTGGTATTACCAAGCGGTTACCCCTCTCGGTACTGACCAACTCGACGTTGTTTAACTTCGGTGATCATACGGGAACCGATGTTTCAACGCTATATGGCTGTAAACATATTTCATTAAATGTAACGGACAGGGAAAATTTACAAGATTTTATTCATTTGACTTTGCTCGTCCTTAATCGCATAATCTATATATAAATTTCTTTGACTTCTGTTAGTCAGTCCATCACACACTCTAAAATAGACATAGATTGTCCGATCGAAAACAGATTTTGGGGAGAAGTACAAACAAGTAAATTGGTACAAAGTAGAGTTTGTTTTACTAGAGTACGTAACTTAGTACAATAATTTTTTATTAATTTTTTGAAAAAAATTATAAGTTTTATTTCACAAACAAAATACTCCCAATATTCTAAAAAAAATTAATGATTAAAATAACAAATACTTATTTAATAGAAATCCAATATTGTTTTTTGCATATATTTTCTTTAATTTTTTATATACAAGAATCCAGTTTCCAGTTCGCCCTGCGTTTGCGAGAACTATAAACAAATCGCAAGTCCAAACGCTTCAAAAAGTTGGAATTTGGCTCCAGAATGAAATATTTATGCATGTCCAGTTGTGTGTTGCATGCTCAAGAGTAAGAAATCCTAAGTGTTTAATATTCGCAGTTAAAAAGGAAAAAAATAAATTTTCTTAAAAAATATTGTTTACCATGAAGTCTTATAAAATTAGTTTAAATTAAAGAAATATTTAAACCGCGAAATAGGGTTTTTTTGTCAAAATACTTTTCCAAACAAATCAGTTTATTCAAAATTCACACATTATATTGAACGAAACGAAGTTTTCAAGTCTTGACAAAAATTCTAGCGATAACTTCAACAATACTAAATACTGTGAGGATTTAATAAAACAATCTAAATGAAATATATTTGTTGATGGCCTCTACTGAGAATCACAATCCGTCTTTTAATCTGGTCGTATTACCATGGATATAATCTTTTTTTTTTTTCTTTGTCAGGTTGCTGAGAAAGAAACCAAGAATTGTATATGGTATTCATTGACCTTACTAAGGCCTTCGACGCTGTAAGTCGGGAGAATGTCTGGAAAGTACTAAAGTTGTGCCATGGCCTCCGGTTCTCTTTGTACTGTTCTTTTCGCTAATAATGAATATGCCTTTGTCGATTTGAATATTGGTGTGAGGATGCATTTTCGGAAAAGTAGTGGACTTTTCAACCATTAGAAGTTCCAAGTTAAGACACTTTAGGGAGCTAGTGTTATCCATGATCTGCTCTTTTGCAGATGATGCAGCACTTGTTTCTACAACTTTTAAGAGACCCAGGAACTTATAAATTGGTTTTCAATCGCAGATAAAGCTTTTGGGCTTACCATTAGCATGAGTTGCTTATCAACCTCCACCAAGCAGATAAGGGACATCGGACAAAAATTATCGGCCCATCAATTCCTGTTTATCCCTATCAAAATAAAGAGGATAAGAGCCTCCATTATATGAAGTCTTTCACTTAACTATGAAACTGTTGCAGTAAACCCTCCTACAGTAGAATGAACTCTTCCTCCTCTCATTGATACTAACTGCGAGAATCGGTTGAGGGGGAAGGTAGACGCAGTGCTAACCTGCCGTTCGGACGTACACCGCTATCTACTTTGACTAACACTCTTGCTTTGTATATATCTTCAATATACTTGTTCAACATACCTTCGTCTTCTGTGTCTTTCTTTCTGACCCCTAAACAGGCCACAGCAGAAACAATGTGAACTCTTACGCCTTCCTTGATGACAAAGATCTTGGCAATCAAATAGCCAAAGCCTCTAACGCATTTGTTATTGTCTTTGGGGTGAAAGACGGTTTAAACTCGAAAGGAGTCTACAAAGCTGTTGTCTTCACCACACTTTTGTGGGGATCTGAGTCTTGGACTCCGTATCACGCACACATGTCAGCTGGGTGTTTGCCACAACGGCTGCTTTAGTCATAATGCAGATTGCTTAGTCCTTGCTCTTGACCCCCGAAGATGTTAGAAGCGTCAAAGTTCAAATTCTTTAATGCCAGTCAATATAGTCAAGCGTGACAAGCTGCAGCAGCGACACACATCAGCATTCGCATTCGGTTTAAGTTTCTACAAAGAATTGTCTCACGAGACTAGTTTATTAAAGCGTTGGCTCGTGAATTTCATGATGTATTAATTTTCAGTTCGATCCCTGATCTGGGCAGTGTATAAAAAGGGGCGAGGAAACTAAGTAATGTTAAATAAGAACAGAACGAGCTATTCGTTGATTAAATTAAGTGTTCCCGTCAAAATTACCCGAAAGTTACCCGGAAATAAAAAAGAAGAAGATATCAGTCCGGGTGGCAACATCCTCAATTTGTTCACATCGTAAATACGATTTTGAAATATTGAATTAGGAAACTCCACACAGCATTTCACCTGAAGCAAGTTATACTAATTTCTTGAAAATATCTTCAGAACCGTTAAGAACTATAAAAATTCACTGCTTGGGACGTGATAGAATTTTTAATAAACCGCCATTTTTGTGCATCATTGCAAATGCTTGTTTACTGTTTAATTTAATGTATTTATTGGCATATAGAACCCGCTTGTTATTTTTTGCTTTTTTTACAAATTTAATAAAGTTTTAATAAATTCACGAAAAAAAATATGTTTAGATCTGGGCTTAAAAACTGGTCCCTATTTTGTATCTCTGGAATGTTGTCATATGAAGACACGTGACAAATCTTCCATACGTAACATTATTGTCTATTCAACTTTAGACTTCATCATTTACTGCTGACGAGTGGATATTTGCCTTTCGGGGTTTCTCCGACAGTGGATTATATATTCTCACGAGCATGTAAAAGATTCTCCCCTTCTTCCTTCTCGGGTTCATGCTTATGTACTGAGCTCTAACTCAGTTTGTCCAACGTGTGTACATGCTAAGTCGACCACTTGTTTACATGTCGAGGCAACAAATTAGTATTAAATTAGTGTGGGGTCTGTAGCATGTATTACAAAGGAGGCAGAATTCTTTTAAAAATATACATTAGTATTAAATCATAAATTAGGGACTACTTAGATAGAGTGGTCCCCTCATAAAAATAGGGAAAATTCTTTGAGAAAATTATTTTTGTGGATTAACATTCTTCGAGCTTCCTTGGGCCACGCCACTTTTCAAAATCGAAAAAATTCGTCCTGGGTTAGACGATAAACTACATCCGCGTCCTGGGTAAGACGATAAACTACGTCCGACCACAAGGCCTCTGATCAGGAGGCTTTGAGGAGCGTGGAACCACCTCTTAATTGCTGGTGTTCCCAGGTCCACCCTGACCCGGAGTGGTAACACCTGTTAGGGTCCCAGATATGGGCAAATTGTTAACCTCGAAACTGGGGTCAAAACACTATGAAAGTGTAAAAAGGTTGAAAATGGTTTGTTAAAACCGTGCCTTCAACATTGCTTTGAAAGTAATGACGTGTTTGAAACTGGTGTAGTTTTATAGGCAGCTTGCGACTTGGAGATGATATAATGCTTTTGAAAGTATTACCGTTATATTTTTTAACAGTTAAAAGTACCTGAGGAGTTGAAATGTAAATGGTTGGTTATATGTTTTGTATGACTTGAATCTGTTGGGCCAATGGATGCGTCGGCCTGATCTTGTGTATTTGGTATGATCTATAACATCTTCCTTCGGTTGATCTGTGGTAAGAGTTTGTGGTTTTGTAGTTTGTTTTGGCGAATCGACATGGGCTGATTTGATTTTTTCGATACGGAATGGGCCGTCATATACCGGTTGAAGTGTTTTTTGTTGTTGTTGTTGTTGTTGTTTTGGGGTGTTTTTTTTTTTTTGCTTTTTTTTTTACACTGTCTCTTCTCACAAAAATAAAATTTTCCGAGAAAAGATTCTTTAGGTATGCCTATATCTATGGTCTTTCTGGGTAAATGTGCAAATCCTCTTTGATGGTGAATCTTAATGCTAAGGGAATTAAAGGTAAATTCTTGTACAACGTGCAGCAAGTGATGCTTTCCGCTGTCTGTAGAAACGCTCCACTAGTCCATTTGTGCATGAGTGATATGCAGTTGTTTTTATGTGTTTCGCTCCTACCAGTTGTGTTAGCTTCTTAAATAGATCAGAATGAAATTGGGGACCTCGATCTGTTGTGATCATTTCGCGTACGCCGATGTTTGCTATCCATGAACGAATAAGTTCATGTCTGTTTCACTTGTAAAGTTCATGACAGGTATTGTTACAGACCATCTTGTAAACAGGTCATTGATCGTTAATATATATGTGAATCTATCAGATAGTGGGAGTGGTCCAAACAAATCGATGTGGATATGTGTGAATCGTTGATCAGGTTCGCTGAACTTTCCTGGAGGTGATTTTGTGTGTCTGTGGATTTTATTCCACTGCAAAGTACACAATTTTTATTCCGAGAACGGATATCTGTATCTATATGAGGCCAGACCAAACGGTCTCTGGTCATTTTTTCCAGGCTGAACGATATGGAATTTTTTAAAAATATATCTTCGCATTTTCATTGGGATGAATGGTCGGAGCTTTGCCATAAATGTGTCACACCAGATATCGGAAATGCTAAAAGGAATAGGCATTTTCGTTAACTGTAAAGAAGTTTCTTTTTGGAGTTGGTTAAAAGATGGATCTTGTTCTTGTTCTTGGGCTCGTTGTTTATAATCTATTTGCGATGTCTTGTCCATATTAACAGTATTTACTGTGGATCTTCACAAACTATCTGAAGTTATGTTATTTTTCTCAGAAATGTGGCTTATATAGATTGAAACTTTAGCTACAAAATCCAAATGTCTGATTTTTCTGGGTAAATATTTGTCCGCTGTTGTTTGGAGGGGAATATATGAAAGGTTTGTGATCTGTGAACATTTTGAAATGTCTTCCTTCTAAAATGTCTTTGTAATGTTTGATAATAACGTATATCACTATTAGTTCCTTGCCAAAAGTGCTGTATCTTTGTTGGGCAGGAGACAATTTCTTTGAAAAAAATGATATAGATGTTGTTTCTTCGTTTAGGGTTTGTTGTAATACGACACCTATCGCATTTTCTGATGCACCTGTTGCGAAGGACAATTTCGCCTCTGGGTTGGTGTACTGCATTTTGGTACAGTTCCGTAATTTTTCTTTGGCTTTGTTGAATGTTAGTTTCGCTCATTTTTCTTGGATTTATTGTCAAAGGTGCGGTATTAAACGTCGGTAGGAGTTCAGCATTCCAATAAATCTCCGAAATTGTCATATGAAGTTTATCATTGGAAAAGAACTCTGCTTCCTCTCTCTCTCTCTCTCTCTCTCTCTCTCTCTCTCTCTCTCCATCTATCTCCCTATATCTATCTATCTAGCTAGCTAGTAGCTCTGCTGTCTCTTATAGCCTATATGAGGGAAACGTACGGATGTAGTTGTAGACATCTGTGGCAAGCGAGAGTCGCGTCGATAATATGGCCAACACTTTGGTATATTTATGTTTGTTTTAAAATTTGTTTTGAGATAGAATACGACTTGTGTGTGACCTAGACGAAGAATAGTTTGTAGTTAGAGATATATGTCCTCTAATAATTGTATAAATTTGACTTTAATTTTCTATCTCTATGTGTAAATTGTGTTTTTCTGCTACAAAGTTAGTTGAAATAAAAGCGGTGTCATGTGTAAATCCGTCCTTTTGACATTCCGTTTTTTTTTTTTTGCAGGTATGAAGGTCCATGTTTGCCCTTTCTTATGGAATTTTTTCGGAAGCATGAACCCAAACATTTGAGGTTTATAATTATTTATCTTAAATTAAGAATAAACGGAGACATAATTTTATCGGTTTATGTACGGTTTTTGTTCTTTACTTAAAAATGTATATATTCGTTTGTTCGTTAAGAAAGGGAGTGGTTTTTAACCGACCTTCAAACAAAAGTTTGTTTTCGTATGCAAAACAACTAAGGTCAATAACTCTGTAAAAATCAGGGATCGATTTGACACAATGCCGATATTATAAACAGGATCCCTTTCTAAATCGATAACAAATCAATATTATTTCGAATCTAGCAAGTGTCGTGGCTTAAGGGGGATCAAAAGAGTGCTGCTCTTCAAAAATTGGTTCCCCCCCAAATGTCCTCTGTTTTTTATCAGTGGACCAGCCTATTTAAGTAGTGTCCATAAATTATATACCAGCATCATAGTGATAGAGTTTATAAAACAGGAAAATAATTAATTTCTACCAACATTATAAGCAACTCTAGAAAAATAAGAGGCAAATGATTCTAATGATATATTTGACTAGAGATAATGGCCTCTGACATTTAGAATTATAAAGGCAGCTTCCCTGATATGTAAACAATAAACATTAACATAGCCTGATCGTAAACTGTCATTTTCATCAAACAGCTTGAAAGCACTTAATGAGGACCCTCGAAAATGCGAGGCACACGTAAATGCGGGGCCCTCGAAAATGCGGGTTATTTGCTATTTTGGCTGCTACTCGGATTAATCCGACACTGCGTACAATTAAGCTTCTTTTTTTCTTTTTTTTTTTCAAAAATCGAAAAAAGGGACGTGAATTCAAATCTCACTGAGAATTTATCATTCATTTCGTTTTGTTAGCCTACACTACCATCGAATAAAGTTTTGATAAAAAAGAAAAGAATTAAAAATAAATAAATAATAAAAATATAAACTAAACATGATATATACGAGTAATTGATTAATTTTATTTTTAACGTAAGTTTTAAGCTTGAATCTCCCCCCCCACCACCACCACACACACACGAGAATAATTGTTTTCCATATTAGCCCAGTTTGAAATACGGATCTTATTTTAAAGATTGGAAATTGTGTTTTTAATGTTAAAATAAAATCTAGTTTTACTCACAATGCAAATAAATTGCTTATTAAAAAATAATTTAAATTTAAATTACTTAATTCTTATAATAAATTAATTTTCCATAATTTTAATTTAAAGAATTGTAATTTGTTATTAGTTATTTCAAAAATAAAATGCTCAAGTTTTACTCTCAACAAATAAAGAAGGAATACCTCATATTTTAATAAAATAAAAATCAATTGCTTTAACGCGGTGGTAAGATTGCTTACAGGTTGGTAGATTTTGAAGCTAACTAAACATTGCACAAAGAAGACACTAACAATAACCAGGTTTAAAGCCAAAAGAAGATAATAAAAACTGAATCTCTCATAAACAATAAATGATTATAAATAATGACTTTATCCTTAATAACATTTAGTAGTTCTCTCTAATTGGAATAATTCTCTCGGTGGAGATTGTGTGGAGACTTATTCAAAAAGAGGGGGGGGGTGAATGACAATTGGTTGAAGGATGGACCGCCAAATTGGCTGGTT